TTTAAAAATAGTGATGTACATTCTGTAAATACTGGGAACAAGCACAGGTTAGTTGTACCAGTTACTCGATTTCAAAGAGTTAGTAATTCCTTTATGGGACAATGTATAGGCTATTACAACAAAGTCCCGGAAAATATGCAGACCTTATCTATCAAAAGGTTTAAAATATTTATTAAGCAAAAATTGTTAAGTAAGGGTATTATACTACTAAAGCTACCATGCTGTTTTAACAACTGTATGAATATTATATTATTGTAAATTATATAGTCATAGTACCACTACTGCTTTAATTAATATTACTGATAATATTAGACAAGGTATGGAAGAAAAAAGATAACAGTACTGGTACTAGTTGATTTCTCAAATGCTTTCAACACAGTTGATCATGAAATCCTCCTTTCCATACTATCTCACCTGAATTTTGGTCCTACTTCTTTGGAATAGTTTGCATTTTATCTTCGCGGTCGACAGCAGTCAGTTTGTGTGGGGCAAATGTCCTCAGCTTGGGCTGATGTGGATGCTGGTGTGCCGAAAGGCGGTATTCTTTCTCCTATAATATTTTCAATTTTCATAAACTTTATTACCTCCATCCTCGACTGCTCGTATCATTTGTACGCCGATGACCTTCAGCTTTATGTGCAAACTGAATTTGAGGATATACATAATGGGATCAAAAAACTTAACGACAACTTATCAGCTATCAAAGATTGGTCTACTCGTTATGGAGTTTTGGTCAATCCTTTGAAATGCCAAGCTATACTAGTGGGTAGCTCAAAAATGCTAGCTAAGATTAATCTGGCAGATTTACCTCCTATTTATTATGATAGTATTTTAATTCCGTTCAGTAATTCTGTTAAAAATCTTGGCCTACACACAGCACGTTGAATTGGAGAACCCAGATTTCAGAAGTGAGTCGTAAAGTCATTGCCACTTTATGCTCTCTGTATCGTCTAAAACATTTTCTTCCCACAAAAACTAAAATCATGCTTGTCCATTCGCTCATATTACCCATAATTGATTATGCAGATGTGTGTTACCCAGATCTGTCCCAAGATCTTCTGAACAAACTGGAACGCCTTCTTAACAACTGTATACGATTTATTTTCGGGCTTCGTAAGTATGACCATATTTCGCAATATAGATCTAAGCTAAATTGGCTTACAATCCGTCAGAGGCGCAATTCCAGAATATTGCTTGTTCTTTTTTCCATTTTAAATGACCCATCTTCGCCTTCTTATCTTAAGAGTAAATTTCACTATCTCTCCTCATCTCATGATAGGGTCCTACGTTCTTCTTCTAACAACAAAATCTGTATTCCTGTTCACTTCACCGAGTTCTATGGCAACTCCTTCACAGTTCAGGCTACACGCCTTTGGAACTCCTTGCCCGATGACATCAGAAAAACATCCAACAAGTATGTTTTTAAAAAATTGGTCCGTAATCATCTATTGAAGACAAAGCATTTTACTTGATTCATCCATTTGATATGTATTGCTAAACAGACGCATATATTCATAGGTATTTGAATGTACTAATTATATATTATGTATTTAAATATGTATATTTGTATGTATATATTTGTATATATGTTTGTATACATCATATATGTATAGTTTATTTATTAGTAAATTGTATGTATGTATTATGTAGTTAATTATTATTTTGTGTCTTGTTATTTTATTCTATATTTCCGCACCTACGTCAACTTCTCACCACTCCATGGGTTGACTGGTAGAGAATGCCTCAAGGCATTAAGTCCGCCCTTTGTATTCTTTTGTTTTAAGGAATGCAATAAAGAATAAATAAATAAATAAATTATGCTTTAAAAAAAGTCCCGCTGGGTGTCTTGCTGGTTCTTCCCAGGACAGAGGTTTTTTTTGAACGTTTACGAAGTAAAAAATGACTTTCAATAAGAATTACATGTAATCTATATTGAATAAAAATGATTCTATTCTATTCCGTGTTGTTTTGGGGTCCATACAACATTATAGGTTTTAGAACCGTTAGTTTGTATTTTTACCGTTTTTGTGCATTTTATAAAAGATATTAAAATATATATTTTTTTATCTTTAATTTACTTACAAGTGTCTAGTGAGAAATGTTTCTCAATCGTAAAAGGGCAAGGGCTAATAAAACAGGGCCATCTGGTTCCTTGAGGTGTGGTACGTTCACGATATTATTTTAGACCCTGTTGCCTCTCATTCCTCGGCACGATCTCACTTTGACTTGGGTGCTAAATCTATGCGCTCCTTATATCAGTTTTTTTTATAGGAAAGGGTAACAAACGAGTACACAATCCACCTGATGGTAAGTGGTTGATGTGACCCATAGACATCTACATCTATCCTCAATAAAGAATCAAAATGCAGATGCGCTGTCACCCGTGAGAACTAAGATGGAATGCCTCTTTTGCAGTAAAAAGGGTCTCCGGTTCTCTACACTCACCATACGAAACGCAGCAATGTTAAGCTGCTATTTTTCGCTGGTATTCTGTGAGAGCATGGTCCTTTCCAGGTCGAGCCGACCCATTCGTGCCACAATTATACTACTAATATAGCTGCAGCATAGCTCTACCACGTACAAATGTCGTGGTTGAATTGATCCTTACTTGTCCCTAACGAATACTGTTATCCAGGTCCAATACAAATGCTGTCGATGCCAATCTCGCCAAACTACATACGCTAGAAAATCATGTTTGGTTTTGAAAACTTTCATGTAAAAAAAAAGTATGCAGTTATCCGAAGTTCAATTCCCGAAGTCAACACCACTGATATTATCTGCAGTTTTATGAAACGAGAATGCGGCTCACCTGATGGAAGTATCGACCGCGGCCCATGAACAGCTGTAACGCTAGGAGAGGACCTGTAATTGTAGGTGCGTTGCCGGCCTTTTCAAAATTAGTAAGCTCGTTCCTTGAAAGTTAGAGATCTTTTAGTTTAGTTATATCGGTCCGGAAAAATTGCCGGTGGTAAACGATTCCAGAAAGAAGTGGCGCGAGAACGAAAAATTCTATTAAAACGCACAGTAGTGGATCGTCAAAAATCCAAATGACGTGGATGGTATCGTAAGTATAAAACTGCAATGAAATCTTATGACAGAAATCGTCTTACCTTCGGCTAGTAAAAGTCCACTGCTGCGCATAGTACCGTGTAGTAGCGAGGTAAGAATATCCACTAGCCCATATCATCCCGTGGGTGTCGTTAGAGGCGACAGAGGGAAACAAATCAGGAGATCGGCAGCATCGTATATATATATATATATATATATATATATATATATATATATATATATATATATATATATATATATATAATCTTTGTCATTTGGATGATGTAAAGATAAGGTCCAAAATTTCATATTACTGACCGTTGGACGACAAAAAAAAAACACGACAACCAGCGACACTTGAATACTTTTGTATCTCCTTTTGGGGTTACATGTTTTGTCATTAATACAACATTTTAAAATATATCAAAATTGATACGAATTCGATACCTTTTAGTTGCAGTTGCAATCGATATTTATATCGATATATCGAGTATCGCGATTTAAAATATCATATATAAGATATATAATAATTAATAATGTAATTTAATATTTTATAATTGCTGCGCCCAAACCGGGTTCAAATGCGGACTATTTTTTAAAACACATCTATTGTTACCATTTGATTGCAATAAAGATTATGAATTATGACGTATATAATATATCGTCGATATTTCGGTATATCGATATTTTTTCCCCAAGCCTACCTCTTACCAAGCGCGACGCTTGACGAGCGGGTTGTCAACCGCAGTTTTTTTTTATTTTGAGATGTTACCAGGATGATGCTGCTTCCCATCATCTGTTTCAATTTCCACCTATGGCCTCTTACGACACCCATGGGACGATTTGGGGTAGTGGGAATTCTTACATCGCTACTATACGGTTTCCCCCACTACCGCCATTTATCCGAGAACATTTAATTGAACTTTAATGGGTTAGTGAAGAAAACGAAGAAGTTTAGGCCACACCATTTCACACTTGGGACCTCCAATTTTATTTATGGGGATTGGATTTTAAAAACGCAGCAAGTGTTTGTATGGTCTACGCAAATTACTTCGTCGAAAAATGTTTGTGTCATGTACACTGTATGTATGTCAAAAGCCTCCACGCTACAGGAGTAATTCCCAGTGTGAGGGTTTTTTTTATCTAACCTTACCTTTATGTACTTATAAAGACCACTACTGAACATACGCCGCCCTATAGAGTGCCTTATAATGGCGATATTTGCCATAGTTGCCACACTGGTCATTGGCAACCGCAGTTTTTTTTAAATTTTGGTTGTTATTAGGAAAACTATACTGCCCATCTCTTGGTTTGTTTCTCTCTGTCGCCTCTTACACGAAACCCACGAAATGATGTGGGGTAGTACATAATATTCTTACACCGCCACTATAGGACCAAGACATTTTTAAAAGACATAATTTTTTTTTCAATTCATATCCTGGTTTTATAATAGAAACAACTTTGACAAAACAAGCACACAGTCAGCCTGATGGTAGGTTTTACGTGGTAGAGCCATGCTGCAGCTATATTAGAAGTATAGTTGTATCACGAATGGGTCGGCTTGGCCGGGGAAGGACCACACTTTCACAGAATGCCAGCGTAAAACAGCAGCTTAACACTGCTGTGTTTCATATGGTGAGTGTAGAGAACCGGAGACCCTTTTTACTGGAAAAGAGGCATTCCATCTTAGTCCTCACGGTTGATAACGCATCTTTAGTTTGATTCTTTATTGAGGATAGATGATGTCACTTACCATCAGGTAGGCTGTGTGCTCGTTTGTCACCCTATCCTATTAAAAAAAAAACATAAAATAGCTAGAACGTGACTCTACCACGTACAAGAGTATTGTCTGAAGAAATTGACTTTCGCGCTCGTCTGTACAACCTCGCAGCGTCACTGATCTTGACGCGTATGCATAATCCGCACGCTGAAATGAAAACCGTTCAGGCCGCAGTCTACAATAGTCGCGAGTTGAGCGCAGTCCGCACTATGTACGCGAGTATATCCCTCGCGCGGTTTTTCGCGTTCGCTGCCCTCGTCGGAAGCGTCTATGCTCGTGTACAGGTTAGTGTGTGTAGTATCTTGATGTTTTATTTTTAATTTATTTTAAACCTGTGCTTGACTAAAACCCCACCTGTTCCTTAGTGGTGAAAAAGTTAGTCAAGTTGTTAATTTTAATGAATGTTGTACTTCTTAATTTTATATTTTTTATGCCTACTGGCGGGACATAGATAATCTACCTTATATTTTACTATGCACATATCGATATCTGTAAATTAACCTATAATCAAAAAATAAACATACATTTTTTTGAAATTTGAAAAAAGCTAGATGGTAAATCGCACTGATTAGCTTAAAAAAAACTTATTTTCTATTGATCTGTGTCTACAGGATTATCCAGATGGAAAATTATTTCACTGATAATTTTTAAAGTGTTAGTGCTTTTACGTGGTAGACCCACGCTGCTACTATATTGTGACTGCAAAACGAATGGGTTGGCTCGACAGAGGTAGGACCACGCTCTCACAAAATACCAACGTAAAATTGCAGCTTAATGCTGATGTTTGAGTGTAAAGAACCGGAGACCCTTTTAACTGGAAACGAAGCATTTCACCTTAGTCGTAAGGGGTGATAGCGCATCTCCATTTTGATTCGTAATTAAGGATTAAATGTAAATGTCTATGGGCCAAAGCATCCACTTACCATCAAGTGGACGGTGTGTTCGTTTCTTAATATAATACATTATTAATATTATTATTTATTAATATTATTATTTATTAATATTACATTATTTAAAAAAAAGTAAACAAAAAATAAACTTGTAGTAGTAAAAATAAAACAAATTAAAATATGAGTAGGTACAAAAAAGTAGGGCATTAATATTTTGTGACCACAGGTATTATATTAAGAATTATAATTTTTAACAAAAAGTAAGAAAACGACATCAAATCGCTAAAAAAGTAGTAGTTATTTATTTGCTTCCCTTATCGGTTAATTGTGATTCACAATCACAATCTGTGAAGATGTCGCGTAACATAAAAAAACACACACTCCAATTAAGAACCTTTTTGAAGTCGGTCAAAAAGCGATATCAAAGGCCTCAAGCCTATACTCGTAATAAAATAGATGACTATTATAGGATAAGAACGTAAACCAAACGTATTTTTGAACTAGTGATCGGCTGTCATAATGAACAATGCAATAATTTGATACATAGTACCTAATATAATATTTGATCTGATTTTGATTTGATTTAAAAATAAAAAAAAAACGTTACCACCACACTAGGATTTTCTCCTGTATCGTGAAGGCAGTTTACAAACATAAATTGCTCGAGGACAAATATTCAGACCGGGAACAATTATTTGTAGGCCATACAAATACTTGTTCCGTGCGGGATTCGAAGCCACGACCCCCAGTGCAACAACTCATTGGTAAGCCGCTGCGCCACGGAGCCGTTGATTATTATTTTTTTTAAAAAAAAACAGGAAAAGTTCGATGATCCCTGAGTTTCTCGGTTTCTGAGGTTTTTCGGTGTAGAGTTTTCGATTTTGGAACTGGTGCTAAAATTTTGACGTTCATAGAAGCTTTAATTAGGCCTTAACTAGATGATTGTTAATTTTTAGGATTCCGTACACAAATTATTTTTTAACAAATTACCTATTACCTCCGCTGTCCGTCCGTCTATCTGTCAGCGGGCTGTATCTCATGATCCGTAATAGGTAGACGAAATTATCACAGAATGTGTATTCTGTTGCCGCTGTAACAACAAATAATAAAAATCAAAATTAATTAAAAATTAAAGGGGGCTCCCCTACTAGAAATGTGTTTTACGATGGTACGGAACCCCTCATGCGCGAGTTCGACTCGCACTTAGCCTTATTTCATTGCATTGAATTTTTAGTTTTTGTCTGAATTTTACGAAAATCCACGTGGTATTTACGCTGAGGATTCGTAGACCGAAAGGGACCAATACCAACCAGTAATATATATATATATATATATATATATATATACATATATATATAAGTATATGAATATATAATAAGTCAATTTTACCATCTTACAAAGATACAGACGACATTATTTTTAAATTATAATAAACACGGCGTCTCGAATGTTAATTTCATTGAAACAAATTCGCAAACGATAGTTAACATTGAAAATAACAGAGCATTGACTGACGCAGGTCCATACGTAATGATGTCACAAGGAAGCTTTAAAATCGATCGGGTTATAAATCGGCATCCCGTGTTAATTTAATCTGGCAGTGTTATACACCCAAGGTCATAATCAATTACAGTTTATGACACTTAGGGATAGTCCCAACAGACACAAATGAGGCGTGGTAGCGTTCGTTTGTTAGTTTTAGTTCGATCCCTGCCGGCGCCAATTAAATTGTAGTCCTGAGCTCTGCGCTGGAAAACTTAATAGTGCCCAAGGAAATCTAGTACGACCACCATCGGCTTTAATAAAATTAATTAGTGAAATTAGGAGTTACTTTTTAGGGTTCCGTGCCCAAAGGATAACCAACGGGACCCTATTACTAAGCCCCCGTTGTCCGTCTGTCTGTCTGTCTGTCAGCGGGCTGTATCTCATGATCTATAATAGGTAGACAGTTGAAATTTTCACAGAATGTGTATTTCTGTTCCCACAATAACAACCAATAATAAAAGTAAATTAAAAACTAAAGGGGGCTAAATAACGATACGGAACGTTTCATGCGCGGGTCTGACTCGCACTTGGCCGGTTTTTAACTTTGCGGAACAACATAACATTAAAGATGTTAAACATGAAAAAATTAAAATAATATGTCTTACCTAGTTTGAATAGCACCTTCTGCTCTCCTTCAATTGCGTGCACGGAAATTCACTCTATTTCTAGTGTTGGGAGTAGTGATGTATGAATATTCTTGGCTTGGTAATGGTCTTGGCTTGGCATATCCCTTATTCGCGCAGTGGACGCAACGGCGCGAGGTGCTCTTCAATCTACGTAAGTTTCTTACGTAGTATCGACTTTTTACGCGGATCTTTACTAATTAACTTTAATTAATTGAATTGTTAATCGTAAAGTGCTGATTTAGCACTTGATCGACAGAAGGAAAAAGGACAGAAGGAAGTCTGCAGTTTGTGAACATGTTCAAGATCGTCCCCGCCATTACATTAGATTTGATAGACCACAAATCCTCGCAAAAGAACACCGATTCCTCCCAAGGATGATTCGCGAGGCTATTGAAATTAAAAAACATCCTAATTTCAATAGAGAAGATGGATGGGTACTGCCATCTGCTTGGGATCCCATAATTAATAAAATCAAATCCAAACCCAAGTATACCACTGCTAGACTTCAAGATACTGTAAGCTCATTCTGCGTAAATCGAACCAAAAATTAATATTAAAAAACTGAAGGTAGCCGGGCTAACTATGACAGCAGGACGTCAAACAACTCAGTCCCCCGTGACCACGGGTGCTGGAAAGCACCCGAAACGTCGGGAATATATAAAAATAAGTTAATATACGCGATAAAATCCGTAAAATTAGTTTTATTTAAAAAAGAAGGAAAATATTGTGAAAAATTTTATGCAGGGGCCGCGCTTTGAAATCCCTAGATCTGTATAGAAAGTTTGATTTTATGTAAATACTAGATGCAAACCCGCAACTTTGCTCGCGTGTAAAGTCCAGTCTGAATCGGTCCAGCCGTTTCGGAGATTAGCCGGAACAAACAGACAGAGAGACACAAAATTTTAACAATTATGTTTTTGTTATAAGTACCGTATATACTTTCATATGCAATTAGTAAAAACCTGTTATTTTGACATTACAAACAGTCAATTCAATTTTAATTATTTGTATAGACGTTGGATGTAGGTACCTTTTTTATAGATTATGGGTGACAAACGAGCACACAGTCCACCTGATGGTAAGTGGATGCTGTGGCCCATAGACATCTACATTTATCCTCGATTAAGGATCAGATATATTGAATTTATATTATGTCTCTCCGACCTAAATCATTACCGACCGTCACCATACTTATTTTGTCACACGAGAGTTTTTTATCGGAATGGACTCCTTTCGGACGGAATTCCTTATCGGACGGTAGGTAAGAATTTGGCCGATGGGATTTTGCTTCACGACCCCTTCTAACGTAGTGTAGACGGCCTTGGCGGCTATAACAAAGCGAGATAGAATAATATCCATCATCCTCGCACTTTTTCTTATCTTGCCATCTAAGAAATAATATTTTATTTTAAATGACGCTTCATTTTATAGACGCTAGTAATTCATTTATTTATATTTGTTAATCGATAATATAATACGTTTATCAATAATAATATACTTTTTTTGTAGAATTAGGGTGACAAACGAGCACACCGTCCACCTGATGGTAAGTGGTTGCTGTGGCTCGTAGACATCTACATCTATATTCGTTTGCAAATCAAAATGCAGATGCGTTGTCAGCCGTGAGGACTAAGATAGAATAAATAGTTTCCAGTAAAAGGATTTCCGGTTCTCTACACTCACCGTACGAAAGCAGCATTAATCTGTTATTTTACGCTGGTATTCTGTGAGAGCGTGGTCCTTCCCCGGTCGAGCCGACCCATTCGTGCTACAACTATACTATTAATATAGCTTAAAAAGGAACTTCGTTTCAACCGAGTGTTCCACGACACTCGCGCATATTTTATTTTGTTAAAATTGGTATAGACTGTGAGTTATGTTTAGAAGATTCTAAAAAAAAGAGAAATTCTAAAAAAAGTTCGATGCCATATCAAATTTTTTTAGAATTTTTAAAGCGGAACAATTCTGCCCTATATACATTTTTTTCATCAGCGCACGCTATGAAAGTCCTAAAGAGGACGACTTTTTTGATATTCATCTCCTAAGTCGGAAAAAGTATATAATATACAGCCTATGTACATCTAGAACGATATACCTTTCGAACGATTAAATAATTTTTCAAATGGGCGCAGTGGTTCCGGGGATTACCCTCTACATATATACAAACTCACAAAATTCGCACTCTCGCTTTATAATATTAAGTATAGGTAATTAAGAAATATA